CATGTTCAAAAAGACTCAAAGACTGGTCCAGTTCAAAGTCTGACGGTCCCACGTTGTCTGAAATGCTGCAATGTTACAATTACAATTTACAATTGTACGGTGCCTGGCCTTGGAGGCTTTGAAGCGCCCACAGAGCTCGAAGACGGTTCAGAAGCAGTATTCTGAGATTCAGGTTCGGGTTCACTGAACAATGGCGCAGCTGTCCGTTGCTTCTTGACTGGCTGGGGCTGGGAGCCCTTCTTTGGTGCACTCTTGGGATTGGAACTGTTTTTCTTCTGTAAGAAAATCCCCAGGCCAAACCTCATTGCTGATCCGGAAGACGCAGACCTTTGGGAACCTGCAGTTTTGGACGGTGTCTCAAACGCCTGTCCAATTTCTGCCGTGTAGGTGGAAAGGTCTGAGTTCGATGGCGCCTGGAAGAGAAACCCCTTGTCCTCACTCAGAGTGCCCCGCAAGGGCGTGTTCCAAATCTTCACCTAAGTTTGTGCGTCCACCGGCGACGGGACAACTAAGCAGGTCTCCACCAAACCAAACACCTTGGGCCTCAAGAACAATAGTTCAGCTAAACAAGTTCAAATTTCTGACAGCTTCAAGGCACCTCCAATCCAAAGTTGCAAGGAGGTTGGCCAAGCTTCTCATTCTTTGCCATGTATTGATTCAAGGTCCGGTGACTAGTTTCCACATGTGGCACCCCTTTGATCAGTTTGATGCCCAACCCAGATCCGCAGTCATTGAGTCGAAGCCACACATGAAACTTTGGCTTCCTGCCAACACACCCCAACACGAACCAACAGGGTGCCAAGTGATCTTTCGGCGGTTCAGCAGAGACCCACCTGCGCATGTGGAGCGTCAGCTTGATCAACACATTGCTTGCTATAACCCCTGCCGCCACAAAAACTGCATCCAGTTGCTCGGCTAGTTTGCTCACATATTTAAAGTACCGGCTTTGCGTGCAGATTCCTCCGTTCTGAAAGGTGCAGGCTCGATCAAAAGGAGGGAGCGGTGGATTCTGGACAATCTTGGAATCAAACCCGAAATACTCATGGTACTGTGCGTCCAAACTGGCTGGATCCATGCTCATGTCTACATGCTGAGGCTTCAGGGCACAAATATGATCTGAAATTCCGAGACCGTGACTCCAAGCACTGTGGCGCACGACTTGCGCCAAGGAAGCGTCCAATCTGGCTTGGTTCAAGCGTCCGACTTGCTTGGGGTTGAGCAATTGTTTCGAAACCGAAACCTGGCTATCTTGTGAATCACACTGGCTTGCAGCAGAATCCAGATCAACATTCAAAGGTTGCCTAACCAGGTGCGATCTCTCTGATTGCATTTTTGTGGCCAATACATCGTAGCGTTGCCTCTCTTCCTCTGACAAGGTTCCCCACTGGTGCGCGATTTCCTTGTTCATATTGGTCCAATCCCCAATTGTCTTCCCTTTCCACTTCTTCCTGACTGGGAACACGACCCAACCATTAATCCCGAGTACCCATTAAAAAACGGACCCCTATTGGAAAAAAGTCATGTCGGAAACCCCTAAATACGGCTTATATTTGTTTTTAAATTACCGCCCTTTCAAGCCGCTACTAAACTACCAACATTGCCGACTTTGGAGGAGTTTTTTAAAATTAGGTTCCAAAAACAACCGTAACTGCCCACCTCTGTCCGCCCTGTCTATCCACCATGACACGCCGCGCTTACACCAGCAGGCTTTCCTTCCCCCAATGGCACGGACTCACGCAAACGCACTTGCCACCGAGGTCATGCAACACCGCATGGCACAGCGACATCACCTTTCGAAAGCTTTAGCTGTTAGTCTACTGAAGAATCACTATTCTAATGAAGGTTTGTAGGGGAAAAGGAAGACCCTTCGATCTGGAGCTTTTTTGCAATTTTGATACGAGTTTAATAAAGGATTTTATATAAATTTTACTGATTTACCTTTTGGTTTTGAAGCTCTTCCCAGGTGACCTATTTTGGACCACCCGATTTCAGGGACCCCCTATTAGAAAAAATGCGGCCGAGGTTTCCTTATTAAGGGGGGGGGCGTTTTTTATTAGGGGGACTGGATTACGCACAGAACTGAAGCTACAAACAGAAACCAACAAACGATGTGGGTGGACCTAGACTGAGCCAAGCTTCTTGCAATCCGCTTGGAAAGCGTTGTATGCAGAAAGCCGGCGGGTTTTGAGGTGCCCTTTTCGTACTTGTCCACATCTCACTGACCTGGGTGTCGGGACAAAACGATACTGTGGTGTGGTGCATATAATTTAATATTAAGTGTCCTCCCCAACAATACGACGTAATGAGCAGCAAACGCGCTATAGAATGAGGACCTGACAGTAGGCCCTTGAGTACTCCTGGATTCCTTTTGGCGAGAGCTGCTGTTGAAAACCTTGTGGATGTGTTGGATAAAGTCGCGCCCGGAGCAGAGCTTTCTAGCAGCCTTTGTCGCAAACAACGTGCTACCTTCCGCTTTGCACTTCCTAGTACTTCGTCCTCTACTGAAGCCTTCAGCCTGCTGTGCTCAATGACAACGCTTTGAATGTACGAATCCAGTTGCACCGTTTGTGGCCGCTTTGCGTGACCGGGCTTCAGGTCCGTTTGCACGTTGGCATGGGACTTCTCCACCTTGTGCAACATTGCGCATATTGTATGTAATTTTGCAGTTATGTACTGCTGTATGTAAATATAACTATAATAATGTCAATATCATAATATCATATCATATGATCAATGGATCGACTCTACGACTCTACATATGAACTGTCTGAATCCGTCCAGACCTTAAGAGAACAAAACACACCAGAAACATGTTGAAGGAATTGAAGTTCAAACGCCCACACACCTCCACTGAACTTGCGGGTAACTCGCAAAGAACATCTTGGACCAACAACTGTGCTTTCTCATAGTCCTCGCGCTGCTTGGTAGCTGTCGCACCAGGTTGAAAGATGAGGCGCATGAGAACCTCAGGCGGCAATTCGATCCGAAATAATACTGTGCAACTCAAAATTTGTCTCCACCTCCCGCTCACAAAAAACTATTGAGAATCAGAATCATCAACCAGCCGGAAAAGAGGGTGTTTGGGTCTGGGTGGGGGTTCTCAGGCTCTATCTATCCGTATCCGGGTTGTATGCAGCACACTGGGTAAAGTCCTAACTTCGTAGCTCCTAGCAATGATTGATAGCTGGCAATGCCACTGCCTACGACCAATGGCCCCTCTTTTCTCCTGATGATAGTGGCCGTTCCGTCAGTGAATTGCAGAATTGCAAGTCTAATCGCAGTCTATGTGACTGACTCCTGACTCGACTCTACTTCTACTTCTAACTTCTGCCCCCTCTACTTCTGCTGCTGTTGAAGTCCACTCTCAGCACCATCTGGATCGTCACGGACCGCAGCAAAGCTGTCAGCCGCAATGCGCCCCAATCTCCGCAAAATGGCGCGGCCAGTGCGAACCGCTCCTCCCCCACCTCCTTCCCCTGCGTCTGGAGGGGATGGCGGCAACTCCGCCCCCAGCACTAGGGTCGTAGCATCTGAATCTGAACCTCCTTCTTCACTCTCACAATCACAGTCTTGAGGATTTAGAGATCCACCGTGCCCACTCCAGTCAGCGTCAGAATTTGAACTAGAGTAACTAGAGGGAATGGCACTCAGCGGCAGTGGTCCTGCCCCAGCCTCCGGCGGACCAGGAGCTGGGGTCGGCATTGCCCTTTCAGGAATGGGAGAAGCGGGAGGAGTAGTGCCAAGCGATTCAAATTCAACATCGCTTGTTGCATCCGGCATGTTCATTCCATTGCTGGGGTGCTCCACAATGATGGCACTTTGCGGAATTTCCCAGGAATCAGAAGTTGAAGAAAGCATCTCAAAGGATCCAGAGTCAGAGGAGGGATCTTTGAGGTTGATTTGCACACCTGGCTTGTCCTCATCGTTTGGCTCAGAATCATCCTTCCCACCGCCACAGCCGCCTGACAAAGTCCCACCATCAGTGGAAGCGGCGCCAATTGGTGTGGTCATTTGTGTCAGATCCAGCAAAGTGCCAGCGCCATGACTTGCGTCAATGCGCCTGCCCCAGTCCACCCGGGCTCTTTTTTGCGCTGGTTCTGCGCACGTGTCCATGGCTGGTAATTCCAAATTTCCTATGGAGGGCTACTCCACTAGCAACTAACCTGAACGCTCTGAACATGTGTTGGGCCAATGCGGCAGCAGAATGTTAGTTAGTGTCATGTGTACTTGATCGAAGTCATGAATTCCATGAGCCCTCCCCACACCCGCTAACCAGTCGAAGTAGCTTGAAAGAAGAAGGCATCTCCGCAGGCTGCGCACGTCGAAGTTTGTTGATGCTCTCGTCGCAAAAACTCAAGGCCAGTGTTGGGAGGCATTCTCAAGATTCGAAAGCTCTTCCAGGGGAGGCTCTCAAAGGGTAAAACAAGGCGTCTCCACGAATCTGACATGCCAGTAATGATTGCATTGAGGCATTCTTCAAGAGATACCCCCCAAAGCGCCATGTCATCTGACAGTTGTGACTCCGCCAACATGTTGTAAAACTCTTTGATTACATCTATCCCTGCTTCTCCACAAATGAGTTGAAGGTTCAGCTCAGCTAAATCCGGTTCGGTCTCCTGAATGTTGCTGTCCCTGAGTGTAAGGCCACTCCTTCGAAGAAGCAGCCTCTGACGAACTGTTTCAACGTATGACACTCGATCCATGAATCGTGTTAACGGTCTCGTGAGGAACAGGCCCTTCGCGAAGGTCACCTTGGCTTTCACAAATTGTTGTCGACTTGGAGCATCTTACAAATATCAGGCTACCATGCTACCTTTCGTGATCAATCCCGGTCGCCGACCCCGATACTGCACATTGACACTCCAAGTGCCAAGTGCCAGTGGGTTTGAGGGTTTTGATTTGGAGCCACCTGCAACCCAGGTTCCAGAGCTAGCTCATCTCGCAGAAGTTTCATGACCTTCGTCACTCGGATTTTTTGCCGTAGTGAGGGTGCCACGTCCGGGTTGTCTTCGCTCATGGTAGCAATGTCATCCACCTCTCCGTCCAGCTGCCTTGAGTTTCCACAACCCTAAAAATTACGAAAGCGGAACGCAGATAACCGTTTGCCACGCTTACTCCGCAAGGATTAACCAGCTGAGCCACTCGTTTGACAAGCATTGACCCCAAAGCCAACAAAGCACGCTGTGCGCTGCCAAACCACGGGCTACAAAGTGCAATGCTGGTTCAAAATGCTTCCACCTGTACAACAAGGGCACCTCAAAGAGATGCCCCAGCAACAAATCAAGGGTGCGCCTCATCCGAGAGTTGCACTCCTCTGTGTTGCGGCAGCACTCCGGGTGGCAGTAATGGGAAATTCTCCCTGTTGGAGGCAACTCGGTCAACCATGACTCGTTGAGCATGGAAACTATGAACCCCTGATCATCTTCAGTCAAACCATGTGAGCACGCCTGCAACATGGACATGTTTTGTTTCATGGATAGGCGAACTCTCTCTGGCAGGACCCCAACACATATCCGGTCCACATTGGAAGCCAGCAAATCAAGCGCCGTGTCGTACCGCTGTCTAAAATTTGATGACTGCATGGCGTGAGCCATCCTCACCAAGCCTGACCACGATTGGAATCCCGGACGGCCGGGAACGCCGCAAAAAAAAAATTGGCACAGGAATGAATGGCCTACGGATGAATGAACATGACGTCGGCACGCCCAAGAAGTTGGCAACCCTAAACACCAGCCTGAGGCAACACCGTCAAGTCCCAAAATGAGAGGTTTTTTGGCGAGGGCCCCCTGATGGTGTAAACAGAAGGTGTAGACGCTCGCCAGTTTGCCCTCACAGCCCTGAGCAGTCTCTTCGGACGTCACCAAGGATTGCTGCTCTAAGGCAGCCACGCACATGTTCGTTGGCAAAGAATCGGTGCCTTACGCACATATGCTTGGTGACAAGGTGACAGGATAGCGAACCAGAAAATGACTAGAATCATTATATTACAATAATTAATAATCATATTGCAATACTGTGTAATAAAAATAAGCCAGAAAAGTCTGACAAGAACATGGAAGGTGCAAGTAATTTGGACGCGAAAAGGAATCTTCTCCATCACAGTTTGCGTCTCTTTTCCACCCCAACTGTTTGGACAGGTGTTGGATGCGACTAAGGACCACTTTGACAACCTGTCGTGAAGAGTGGCCGTGTTGGCCTTCAGGGAAACTGGAACCAGAAGCCTGAAACCCGTGAGACGACCTATGCTAGGAAAGTCAGCGTTTCAATCAAAGCGCAATGGCAATAACAAAGATTTCCAACACTTCATGCGTTTGTTCCTTGTTCCCGAAACCACGCACCTTGGGAAGCACCTGAGAAGGGGAATGCAATTGAGCTGACTCCAACACGTCTGCCGTGCTACTCCTCACGGTCACTCTTTGGATGATCCCAAGCAGCGGACTCACCTTCCGGCGTCCAAGCTTGCCTGCGGTTGTGAACAGTGGCTGCTGGTCCAAGTCCTGGTCCTCAATGGCACCGGCGGCGTTATCAGCCTGAACCACTTTGGTTGCGGGGGCAACTGTGACGTTGGTGTCATCGTAAGTGCGCGTGACAATGAGATGAGCAACACCCGGCCGATTCAGCAATGAGAGAAAGGCAGTCTGCTGCGCGCGCATATGGGAGACAGCGGCTGTTTTCTTCATGCGGGTGAGCTGTGAGTCCCCCCTGGTTTCTGATTGGTAGCCAACCATTTGCCCATCCATTTCAATATGGGCAAAATCCTGCCTAGGCCGATCGGAAATTCAAAGGGAGCACACAAGGCTGGCAAGAACGACAAAAACTACGAATTCTAGTGGCTAGGGCTCTACCACTTCTACGGTGTGTGATGATGATCTGACTCACCTTCATAGAACTTGAACTGCATCGAATCCAGCCAAGAAACACTTTCCTTGTGTGCGCACTGTTCTTACCCCGGCCATAACTGCTAAAAACTACGCGAGCTACGTCCTGTTGACCTGAGCTTGTCAAATCCAACAAAGCCGTTGCCCGAGAAACTGCTGCTGAAGCCATACCAAGCCTGACTTTGGCGCTGTGACTGCTGCCACAGGAATAGTTTTTGAGTCTTGGAGGCCGTGGCTCTCCCTCCCCGTTTTGGTCCCCATCCATCCCAGGGTCCACTGAAGCCGGCCGCGCGCCGCGGCCCACAATGCCATGAAAAAGAGCCCGCATCATGATACGATGAGCGCAGGTGACGCGATCAGCGTTACAAGAAACCCTTCTCTAGACTGAACCTGAGACTGGACTGCCTGCCTTCGTTGTTTCAGTAGCTAGTAGCTTGACTGTTTGACCCCTGAGCCAAAGCCATGTAAAAATCACAACTGCCACAAGACTGCCACCAAAGCAACGCTGTTGCATTTAATATCGTGGCCGCCTCTCCGCCCTGCCTGATACTTGGCCGATGGATCGACATTTTGTTGACGTTTCTGACATCCATCCACATTTTCCAGTATGCAGGTCCTGAGGTGCAAATCATGAGCTCGAGAACTTGATAGTATTGGATGTTTATATCATATAATATATTATATAAATATATCACGTCATTTTACTTGTGTTGTATATATATTGATGATCTATGATCTATTGAATCTGAGAGGCCAGTTAATGGAAGTTTCGCCAAATGCAATTTGCCAGCTTACACTTGAACAAATTCTGCAAAATGACATTCAGACTCGCACGGTCTGGTCTAGAACTTGACGCGCCAAGCTGCAATGGGCGATGTGCTCGTATGTAACGGGACGTCTCTAAAAATGGAAGTGCATTCTTTACCTGAGCATCAGTTGTCCCAACAGCCAATATCTCGCTGAGCCTCTGAACCAGGACTTAAACAGACAAGCAGAGTAGAATTATTGTCTTCCTTTTCACGCGGTAGCCGAGAGACAAATTCTTTGTCTGTGAACATTGCGCCCACGCTCCGGTGCTGAAAGCGGGCGCTGGATTCCTGGGAAAACAGCTTGCAAACAAACCCAGCAATGAAGCAGTCTTCCCGCTCGTAGCCCTGCCGGTCGCCAAGCAGTTCAACCCCGTGGCATGTACATCATTACATCAGTCAGAAACACCTCGTTTCATTATGTTTCCCGATTTTTCTTTGAATTGAGTCCCCACAAAACTCACCTACAGTTCTCTCATCTCTCAGTTCTCTCAGTTCTCTCTCTAATCTCCCGCCTCCTCCCCACACGCAGGCCGTGGCCTGCAAGTAGATTTGTGTTTCACGCAAAAGCCACCTGTCCTGCAAACAAAAGGTGAGGCCACTTCTAGGAAAAATGGAAAAGAGATTCGTAATTTAAAATTATCAATGCAAGCATTCTCTGTATCCTGGAATAGACCATGTTCTGGAAACAATGAGAGACGTTGTAGTTCTGGAGAAACCAGCGGGCAACGCTTGCCTTAAGAGCGTGGACACGAATTCGACACCATTGAAGAAGAGAGAGGTATAAAAACAGGACTAAATGCCAAAGCTAGCAAGAACCCACCAAAAAAAATATGTTGCAAAACTTGGGCGCGTTGATTTCACTGGCGATGTCTTCGGAATAGTTCTTCTCGCCAACCAATTGGCAAAGGGCGTGCGTTGGGGCTCCGGTTCCGCTGCATGCCGTTGAAAGTACCTCACAAATAGCAAGGAACGGCTTCCAAAGAATGGAACGTAAACACAGATCTACTCCTCCTACTCCTAAAATTTCTATGATCTCCGTTCAAGTTGCCAAGGGTGAAGCAATATCCGCATGCCACTTTCGAGGGCTGACCCCAACAGAAGTGAGGAAAATATTTGGCCAATTGAGTAGGGGCCACACGTCAGCAGATTCCAGGTGAAGTTCATCACGGTCCCTGCCAGCGTAGCAAAATCAGTTCAAGTCAATTTTGGAATTAGATTGCTTGAGTTGAAAGCTGCTCAAATAAGTGGCAGTGCAAGCTAACCCTGCCTTGACCTTGAACGTTCTCGGTCTTTCTGTCGTCGAAGTAGGCCCCGCAAAAGCATGGTCGTGCGGACGGAAAGACAGATTCAGTGGGTGTTTGATGGTGTTTGCACTTGAAGGCCCTGACTCTGATAAAGGCTGGTAAATCTCTGAAACAAATCTTCAGTTTCGCAGCTCCCGAAACAGCAGCGGACTCCAAAAACAGCAGCGGTGCTTTGTCACTGACTGACCACATTTTGGCGCTGCTCCAAATCATCCACTGTTTGTTTCTTCAGTCCTTCCGATATTTACAAGCCACTTTAGTGTGTACGTTCCATACATATAAATATATATTATATATATATATGTTTTAAATATAATCTAGTCTATAACTATTCCAAAAAGATGTCTAATTGAAGTTCTCTGGGGCTGGCGATCACAGGTTTTGCACACAGTGGCGTTTCTCACACCACCATTGGCCCCGCAAACACGGCTCCTGGACCACAAACGTCTTTTACGGACACCAGCATTACACCACCAAAGTACGTTTCGGACACCTGCTTGCACACCACAAACCAGCGTTTTCCAACATCGAGCACCAGGGCCGCACCAGGTTTTGCACCACTTTTGTCGCCTTTTCCTTTCCGGACACTGCCCGAGCACCAGTCCGCGCACCAGGTTTTTCCCAGAAACCTTCGTTTCGGACACCGCCCGTGCACCACCTGAAGCAATTTCGATCACCAGGTTTTGCACCACTTTATCACCTTTCTTTTTCCGGACACTGCCCGAGCACCAGGTCGGAACCAGGTCGGAACCACTCTGGAACCAGGTTGGATCCAGAAATCCACGTTCACGTCTTAAGCGGAGCGGGGGCTTAGCAAAGTCTGCGTATGTGTGTGTTCGTGTAAGTTGAGGCAGTGCGTGGGTGTCTGTGTGTGATGCGGCCTCCCAAACCCCCCACCGGCGGCCAAGCGGTGACAGCCCAGCTCATCGTCATGAGCATGTGAGCTGCTGGTAAGGGGAGAAGCAGCGTGCACGGCGCCAGGAAAAGCTCACGGAAAAAAACGAGCCGGAATGTATGCTTTTTCGTGAGATACGTTAAGAGCGGCTAGGTTGTCAACGTGGCATAGCAAAATTGCACTCCAGCCCCAAAGCAACCCCAAAGCAGCGTGAAAACACAACACCACAAAGAGCAGAAAAGGCAAAACTTCTCGAGATATTTTGCCTGGTAACAGGCCTTTGACTGTGATACTTTGAACTTTGGATTCCCAAAGTTTATTGTGGGGTGTCAAGGTAGCTCTGAGGATAGAAAATAGATAAAAATAGTTGTGTTACAGCAATAGCATACGCCGCAACATTTTGTTCGACGCTTGTGATGGACCGCGCCCCCAATCCATCTTAACCACTGCATTGCAATGGTGGTCTTTGCCAGCTGTTTGCCTGTACGTTTGCTACCGTGCTTGGTCGCATTCATAGACAGCAAAAACAATCAACAGGTTCCTGGAGTAAGTCTGTTTATGCTTGCTTTGTGTCACACTGTGTAAGTTTGTTTATGTTTGTGTTTGTTTATGTATGTTTAATTAGGTGTGTTGTTCTTCTCAGAACATGCCTTCATTCAGAAGCTTGTTCTTTTGCCTGTGTGACTAGCTTGTAGC